TGAGAATTCCAAGCCCCTTCTGCATGACTTTAGCTCAATGTCCTGGACAAACGTACCAACAAGAAAAGCCTGCTGTTCTGACCAACTGAAAGACAAAAAAAAATAAAAATAAAACCCTGTGTGTGAAGGTGCCAGCCGATAATATTCAGCAACGTACACCCAGGTTTTGTCTTTCCACCAAGAGTCTAATGTTGAAACGAAAGACATCAGCCACCGTATCAGACGTTGCCCGCGTGGAAAACGAGAGTGTGGCTTCCGCTCTGCCAACGGCCGAGGCGGCGTTTCCCGGCCGTCTGGTCATGAACACAGAAAGGCCGGGGAAGGAGAAATCGAGGCGGGTGTGGGGAATGCCCAGCCACCCGGCCGCCCGCCGGGGGCCGCGGCTCCGCAGCTCAGCGGGCTGGGCAGAGCTGAGCACCGGCCGGCCGGCCGCGCTGCCCTCCCCGCGCCGGCCCTGCGGTCCCCACACACCCCGTTAACATCGGACAACAGCAGACGCCCAGCAGGAGCCTCGGGAATTTGGAAACAAGAGCCACGTCTGCAGGCGGCAAAGGGAACGGCGCCTGCGTTCGAGCGAGGCATTTGAGAGCCTGGAAACCCGGCTCTGCTCTTCCCCAGCGAGCGTCCGCCGGGCAAGGGCAAGTCATTTTGCAAGAACAAGCAGCAGCAAAAACAAACAAACAAACAAACAAACAAAAGAAAAACCGTTTTGTCCAAGGAAACTCTACAGCACAACCCGTAAAAACTCCAGGAAGAAGTCTGGGGTGAGAGGCTTTCCTCGGGGGTTCGAGCCTGCCCACCGCCCACCGAGCCGGGCAGACCCGCGGCTGCAAACCAAATGGCTACAACCCGGAACAAGGCAACAGTTTCCAAGGGGAAGATCAAACAACGTGAAACAATTTGAACCGACTTGCTGAACGACAGGAACATGGGGGGTCATTGTAACCGCGGTGTAACTTTACCTGTTCCATTTCCACGGCGGCCACCAAGGGAGCCCCCCAGGAACCCACGATGCCTCCATGGGCCCCGGAACGACAGGGCCCTCCGGAGGCTGGTGTTGCCCCCCGGGACAGCCACCTGCCACCCCCGAGGCTGCTCGCTGAGGCGCCGGAGGAGAGTCCCCTTGTCGTCCCCCCGACAAACAGCCGTGCCCCCTCCCCTGACCCACTCACCGGCTTGGCGCGGGGGCCCGTTTGCAGGCAGAGTCAGAAAGGGAAAGGCATCTCAGGTTGGAGCCTCTGAAGAGGACAAACATCCAAAACTGGCCGAGCTGTTCGGGCTGAGCACGCGAGGACGGACGCCGGCCCGGGGCAGCCCCACACAGGCCACCTGTCCTGGGCCACCCTCCGGAGGAAGAGGCCCCAGCCCCCCACCGCGGGGACCGCGGCCCCGGGGGCTCTGTCGGTCCCGGCCCCGGGCCCCTCTCTGTCCACATGTGGTTTTGATCGCGGCCGGGAAGCCGTCAGCCCGGCTAAATCAAGTTATTAACTTCCCTTTCCATAAAGAGATACAAAGCACATGCCAGAAACATTCTCGTTTTGAAAAGTTGATTTTTTTTCCATTTATTCTTTTTTTTTTTTTTCCAAAATGACTCAAGCATTATTGCAACGCCACGGCGGAGAATGCAGACCGCCCCAAACAACAAAGAAAAAGAAAATGAAACGAAATAAAAAGAAAACTGGGAAACCAGAGCGTTGGGGCTTCTTCGCGCTACGGCCCCCAAGACTCTGCCTTGATTAGAAACGGGGACGTCTGTCTTCCTGTCCGCACCTTTCGGGGGAACGGGGACGCTTTGATTCGAGGGGACGCTTCTGGGAAAAGTCACAGGCCCCGGACCCCCCGGGTGGGACGCCAGATGCCCACCAGAAACACAGGGGAACGCGGCAGGCCCCCCACCCAACACGCCGCCTTCCCCGGGGGACAGAATCCCGTTTTTTCCAATTCACTCTCCTCAGGGGAAAGGTGAGAATTTTTTTCCTTTTGACACGTGAATACAAATATTTATAAGTTTATTTATATCTGCGTTTTACAAGGTGTACATTCATACTATGCGGTTGGACAAAATACACTCTGTAGGTCGAACGCAACGGCCCGGCGCGGCGGCCGGGGCCGAGGACACCTTCGGCGCGCCTGCCTCGCCAACGCGGACGGAGGCGAGTTTTAAGACCGTGGGTCTGGGGAGGCGGAGCGGCTTCTGTCGGTTCGCGCGCTCCCGGAACACGTCGGGAGGCCCAGGCGCACCTCGTGCATGCAGCCCAGACACGGTGGCCGCGTCATAAATCAAACTGGCTGCTCATAAACCGGGGCCGGGAGGGGGAGAAAGAGCAACAGGCTTGAGAAATATAAAAATAAATGCAAGACAGTGTCAAATTTACACTCAACATAATTAAAATAGCACATATTTATGAACTTTCAACCAAAAAATAATAATAAATAACACACCCACATCCATCCGCGATCCAGAAGCCGGGAGGCTGGCCCGTCCGGGAGGGGCACGCCGCGAGGCCGGGGTTTCGGCACGATCGCTTTTCAATAAATAGGGCGTTTCAGACGCTTTGAAACGGCATACTCTACATTCTTCGACTGGTTTCTCGTTAAATATCCAATTTCAATAAAACATTTATAAATCGCATCCAGTTCTCACGTATATTGAAGGAACGAATTTGTTAAACAAAAATCACCCAGCATCATCCTAAGCTACGTTCTCATAAATTAGGCACCAGTTTCTGTCTGTGTCTCGGTTTCTTTCAACGGCCGCCCGTGTCCGCGGAGAAGCCCCCTCCGGCCCCAGGCTCCACATCCGGACGGGAGGAGGAGAAAGTGCCTCAAAAACGGGTGTCGCTGTGGTCAGCCTGCCGTCACCCTGCCTCCCGGCGGGAGAACAAACGGAAAAAGACCCCGCGTCCTTGGGGGGCTGTGACGGTGTCGGCTCGCAGTGGGAGCTCAGGGGGCTGGAGCCGGGGTGCTCCGCACATACTGACCGGGGGCGGGGAGGGTGACCGTGAGCTCAGCCTTTGGGCTCACGGGCCTAAACGGGCTGCCGTCGCGTCCTGTTTACATGTCCAGACTGGGCAGGCACAGACGCTGGCGGCTGAGGACAGAGCCAAGCCCCCGGCGGAGGGGCGGCCCCCGTGAGCTACGCCGGAGCCCCCGGCCGCTCCCCGAGGGCCGGCCCCATGCGCCGCAGCCCGGCTTCTCAGGGCAGGCGGGGGCCGCACGCTCGGCGGGAAGCGTGTGCTCCTGAAGACCCGGGACTTCCCCCGACCTTCCCCCGGGGGCGGTGGCCGGGGGCCGTGGGACAACCGCGAGACAGAGGGGAATTGGGCGAAGACAGGGGACGGGCGTGGCAAAGCGGGGAGACTGCCGTGCCCTGTGGCCACGGTTCCGGAGGAGGACACGCGTGGGGCGCCTGAGCGCGTCCGGTGATCGTGGCAGTGGCCCTCGCCTACGGCCGCGGTCACACGGGTCCCGCCACCGCCCGCCCCCAAGGCTCTGCCGCTCCCATCCGCCCAGTCCCCCACACGCCACGTGCCAACAACAGGAATGAGGAGTTGAAAGGGATTTTGTTTGCAGCCAAAAGCGCCCCCAACAACCCAAATCCGTGCCTCTGTGCCCCGGGGTCCCTCCCCGCAAAGGTAACTGTGAGGCCTGGCCGCAGAGGTTCTACCTGAGTGACCGAGAGCCACACGTGACACAGTCCAAGCCCCCAGCACCGAGCCCTGTCCTCACGGCCCGAGAGCCAAGGCGGGAGCAGAGAACTCGGGGGCAGAGGCGGCCAGGCCAGCGGCAGAGCCCCCCAGTCACGCCTGCCCTGGAATTTGGGGGAGGAAGGGTGGGGGCCGCTCGGTCGCTCGGCCTTTGCTGCGGGGACAGAAGCGGAGCCAGGCAGGCGTGCCGCGTGCTGAACTCCCTCCTGCGGGGTCCCCCGACACCAGGCTGGCTTTGCAAGCTCCACAAAGCAACTCGAGCAAGAACGAGGTGACCCCCCAGATGCTGCACCCTGGGCCGCCCCCTCCCAGCAGCCGACACCAGACAGCTCCCTGTGGAAACTTCTCCCCCAACGCAAACCAGGCCTCGCGTGGAAGGAGTTTTTTGCAGCTCGGGCTGGTGACACACACGCTGGCGTCCCCGTAAAAACAGTCTTAACCCTTTTGGAGGGAAAAAAAAAAAAAAAACCAAGGATGCCGACATTTACCTCTACCTTCTGCCACGTGCGGAACTTTGGGATACATACACCCACATGTAAAGGATTCGAAATGTTTTCTTCCTTGCGGGTTTTTGTTTGTTTGTTTGTTTTGCATTCAAAGCAAAGTCCTAGCGAATCCTGGGGACCTCTCTCTTTTTGACTCCCAGCTGTTTAAAAGCAAAACAGCACGTCTGAGGCAACCTCCCTTATACCATTAATGTCTGGGGGGGGGAGGGGGAGTCGCAAGGGATTGAAAAATACTGACCCTGCTCTGTCCCTCTCTCTCTGTCATGTTAGAGCTTTTCTAAAATTTCAACCCCCCCCCCAAAAAAAGAAAAGAAAGCAAGCAAGCCAGCCGAAGGGGCTTTTTGATTTGTCTAAAGACTTTCATATGATACAAATGGGAGATGTCCGAACGCATTGACGTTTCAGCGCAGAGTAAAGGGAGAAAGTGTTGCCTTACATAGAAGGAAAACGCTTTTTTTCTGGGAGAAATGGACCCACGTCACAGGGCAGGAAAGAAAACTGGCGCAGCCAAGCGAGGAGAGGACAGACCTTCTTTTGGAAACAGCAAAGAGGTCCCCATGCGCCCTGGCCTGGGGGACACTTGCGGGACCCCAGGCGTGGCCTCGAGGCCGACCGACCCCGCGCGGCACCGGCACGGCACCCGGCGGGCGCTCCGGGGCCTGACTGCGGAGACCTGGGGCGGCCCCGGGGGGAGCCCCTTTCCTGTGAGCTGCCGCTGGCTGACCATGGCACACACAGAGGGCGGAGGAGGCGGAGGAAGGGAGACCTGCCACCGCCCACTTCGGCCACGGGGCACCTTACCCCTCACTGCCCACCAGGCCGCTCGGTGCCCTTCCCACTCGGGAAACAGCTCTGCCACCTGCGTCACATACTGGCCCGACCCCGCCGGTGGCGTTGCCCCGGAGCCCCCTGCAGCCTGTCGTTCCGGGGAGGGCCCCAGCCGGCCAGGCCCACGGTGGGCAGCGGAGCCGGCGCCCCTCCGCGTCCGAAGCTGACCGGTCAAGAGTGCACGGCTCGTTTCTTTTAAACTCTATCGTATTTACAGTATTGCACTTCACTGCATGTAACTGCATTTCCCTCAAGTCAGTACCGCCTCGTCCGTGCCCGGCACCCCGGGGCGGGGGGTGGGGGGCCGTCTCTCCGCAAGTCCTGGGATTCTGAACTCAGTACGACAGCAAAGGATGTCCCTTGGGGGGAGACTTAGAAAGTCGCCTCTTCTATGGCACGTGGAATCCTCAGCTCGGCGCTTGGGGACCCGACCGGAACAGGAAGACTAGGCTCACCATGCGGGTCCCCAGCACAGCCCCCACCTGGACACCCGGGCGAGGTCCCAGATGCGTTTTGTTATTGCTGCCTTCAGGGCAGGGGCGGGCGGTGAGCAGACCCCGGCCTGGGCTGGGACCGTCCACACAAATCCACACGGGTCCCGCACGCATCGGAGGACAGGAGTTCGTGGCCGTGAACGCCGCTGCTGGAGACCAAGACCTGGCGTCCTCGGTGGAGACCAGCCCCGGGCTTTTTGGGTAACGGACTGGAAGATCTTGGAAAGGCTGGACGAGGCCGCATGCAGGGGGTAGAGCAGGAGAGCAGCGCGCGGGAGCTCCACATCGGCGGGGGCTGGGGTGGTGGCCTCACATCACCTGCTCGCTCTCCTGCGCAGTCTCTGCCAAGGTCCAGCGGGGTCGTGCGTTCCGGTGGAGAGAGGCCACCGAGCCCCGGCCAAACGCGGGCCCCCGGGCTATTCAGGGCGAGGCCCCCGCCTCTGCGCCAGGTCCCGCGCCCTCGCTGCGGGGAGTCCAGGCGTCCGTGGGGCCGCGCGGGGGGGGGGGGCGCGAAGGGATCGCGTGCAGGGCGCAGCGCGGGCGGGGTCGCGGGGCCGGGGCGGGAGCAGGGCCGCGCGGCCGCGGGGTCAGAGCCCCAAGGCTTCAGCGTGTTTGCGCGCCTTCAGCCGCAGGTCGGCGATGCTGGAGTTTTTACTGTTGCTCTTGGCCGCGGCGGCCACGACGGCAGCGGCCGACGCCGACTCGGCCAGCGACGCGATGGGCAACCCGAAGGGCGGCGGCGGGAACATCAGGTAGGGCGCGTGCGCCGCCAGGTGCGGGTGCAGGTGCGGGTGCGCGTGCGCCACGCCTTCCAGCTGCAGCTGCGCCTGGACCTGCGGGGGTGAGGGGGGCGGAGGGAAGCCGGCACTGTTAGGACGCGGTGCACGGCGTGGAGGGGGCTTCTGCGCCCCGAGCGACCCCCCAGGGCAGCTTCTGCTCCGCGCAGCCGCCCCTCTCGCCTCCCGTCCTGGGACCCGCCGCCCACTCTGTTGGGGGCGTCCTCGCTCTGCTCTGGGCCCCGTGCGGGGACGGTGTCACTGATCCCAGAGCCAGGCCTGGGGAGCATCCCCGGCTGACCCACCTGTCCTCCGCTTCGCGACGCCCACCCCCTAGTCCTTCCCAGCTCCAGGGTGTCCAGAGCTGCCTCCCGCCCCCCCCCCAGAGCCGCGGGTTCCCTATTGGACTAAGAAGCCCCCCGACTCAGGGTCCGGAGTGCAGCCGGGACGCCCCCACAACCCTTCCCCGCCACCACCCCCTCTCCCCCGTGAGATGCACAGCCAAGACCTCGGATTCCGCGAGCTGATGGCGTCAGCGCTGCCCGGGGTTGGAGAACAGGAGCGGGGAGAGGCCCAGGCAAGGGGGGCTTGAGCCCCAGTGTGTGTGCGTCCGCCGCCCCCTCCAGCCCCGGCGGCCCCGGGGTCCCTTCCCACCTCGGGCACCTGGCGCTGAGCACACGCAGCCCCGCCCCCTCCACCTCCTAGGTGTCGAATTACACCGCCCCAGCGCTCACATCCTAGCGGACCAGCCGCAGCCCGGGCCGGGCCCCCCAGCTCTCTGGTACCTGAGCAAACACCAGTCCCACTGTAAACGGGGGCCTGCCCTTTAGGGCCACACAGCTGTGCGCGGTGCCCATGGGCCTCCCTTCTGCGCCGGGGCATCCCTGTTGCGCCAGCGCGCGTCCCCACTCCCAGGTGGGGGCCTCGCCGGCGCCCTTGCGCTGAGACAAGGCAGGGCGCGGGCGGACACTGTGTCCTGCGCTCCGCCTGCCGCGCCCTGTGGATACTCGGACTCCCCGGGCGTCTTACACCCCCGTGGCCGCCCCCTGTTCCGGCACATCGGACTGGGCTCCGCGCTGGGCCAGAGGCCCCCAGCTCGGAGGTGTGGGGCCAGCCGGGGTCCAGAAGGGGCCTCGCCTCCTCCAGCCGAGGCTCTGAGCTCCGCAGGTGGCGAGCGTTTGGGTGTCGACAAGGCCCTGTCACCCAAACGCCAGCATCCCCGCCCCCAGGCTGCAGGCGGCCAGCGGTGGGTGGTTCCCGGGTAGGTGGGATTTCTTTCCCACCGATTTTTGTAACACTGTTGCGCTTTATGACCCGGCCCTTCCCGAAGGTGAGTCTCAGAGTTTTACAGCCTGATGTTAATGCGTGCCAACGGGTCTATAAATGCGCTCTTGTAAAAGCGGCCTCCTTTCTTCCGCGGGGGCGGGAGGAGCCTGCGGAGCAGCGGAGGAGGCGGAGCCCCCTCCCACCGCGGGGTTCAGCGGCAAAAAACCCGGCTACCTGTTGGAAAGGCATCCGCAGGGCGCCCATGTTCACGTAGGGCGCCACCCTGCAGGCGTCCAGGTGGCTGGCCGTGCCCAGGATGACGCCTGCAAGGACAGACGGAGGAGGCGTGAGCGTCGCTGCGGTCCCCGCGGTCCCTGCGCGCGCCGCCCCTCCCCCACCACGCACCGCCCACGCACCGCCCGCGCACCTACCTTTATGCATCTGGTTCTCTTGCTTGCGGCACTTGGCTCTCCGGTTCTGGAACCAGACCTGGGATGGAGCAAATAAGACACACGCAGCCCAATGAGCCAGGCGAGGCCTGGAGTCCCGGCCTCACTCCCTCCCTCCCCCTACACTGGACGGCCGAAAGGAGCGCTCGGGCCGCAGGGCGTCGAGGGCGCGGCCCCAGGGGACCTGCCCGCCAGGAAAGCTCCGTCTAGGTCTCCCCTCCCTAATCCCCTGCCCCTCCGACCCTCCTGACTCTCCTCCAGGGTGGATGGAGTCAAGCCCACTTCTGGGCCCTCCCGACCCACGAAGGGAGCCAGGAGCTGGACCTCCAGGCATTCAAAGCGAAGAAGCAGGTGCTGGGGCGGCCAGGGAGCCGGAGAACCGCCGACCCTTCCGCGTGGGCATCGCCCCTGCACCCGTCACCGCCCCCCACCCCTTCTCACGCTGTGGGGCTTGAGCCCCCGAGGAAGGGAGCGAGAGCGCGCACAAGTGGACAACAAGCACGGAATCCGGCCCCCTCCCCAGTCAAGCTGAGAACACCCTGAGTCCAGAAAGTTCCACGACGTCTCCATCCTCCTGGGAAGCATTGCGGGGCCCTGTTAATGTTACCGAGTCAGGAACCTCTTGGACTTGGGAAGCCCCCCACGCCCCCAAAACGCAGACTTTGCTTTCCCTGCGCGTGGCCTCCCCGCAGACACCTAATTCTTGCGGTGCCTGAGCAACAGTTTGGGCAAGAAAGGGCAGCGGGCCCCTGACCTAGCCCTGCTGCGTGCAGAGGCTGGGTGTCCAGACTTGGGTGCAAAGGCGCGCCCCTCCCCCCTGCAAATCACCCCTTCACATCACCCTTCACATCGCGACGCAACCTAGGTCCTTCAACACCCGCTCCCTTGAGCATGGAAGAGAAAATCTGGACCCTCCCCCACCCCAAGTTCTCAGTCACTCGATTTTATTTCTAATGGAGGCTTCCATGCTCACGGACCCTTTGGCCGCATGGCTGCCTACGCAGGACACTTGGCACAAAGGAACAATTCCCCTCGCCCTCTCTGCCCTGGGGTCTCCGCACCCCTCGCCCACCCTGCACAGGGAAACCCGGCAAACCCGGGGCAGGGGTGAGCTGGGCGCGCCGGGGGGGGGGGGGGGGGTTCTAAGAAACCTGAACTTTTCCCTCCCAGACTCCGAACACTTTTTCATCCAGGGCGGAGCCCTCTGCCCGCCAGCCTGCCTGCCTGCTTGGAATTGGCCTTCCAGAACGTTCCAAAGCTCCCGTCCCATCAGGCTGCGCGGAGGCAGAGAAACTTGTGTGCACTCTGCTGAAAAGTCATCCGAAAAGGACCCCTGCCCACCGGTAGCAATTCGCCGATCTTTTTACCCCACGCGCCAAACTCCGCGAAGGCGCTCCGCCCCCCCACCCCGCCCCCGCGTCGGACGCCCCCACCTTGGGATCCCGCACCCCAGGCCTCCAAAGAAAAAACCCAGAGGCGCCGGAGCCCACGCCCTCCCCCCCCTCCTCAGCGCATTTTTCAAGAAAACAGAATCCTATTTAAATACGGAGAGCTCAGCTCACTTCCCCTTCAAGGGCGGAAAGGGGGGAAAAACATTATGAGGAATAAAAGTGATGAATTAGCCGCTGCGCTAAGCGATAATAAATCAGTCTTGGGGTGACGCGCGATCAATTCCAATTAGTCGTGAATATGCTAAGTAAAGCTCAGTACACTGGTTTAGACACTTATTTCTTCATTAAGGGCCAGTCCCTGATTCCTCTCACAAACGCTGTAATCGGATTTCCTTTTGATTTCCATTACAGACAGTGAATAATGACATTTAATTTAGCTCTGCGCCATAAACCCAAAGATATTTGTTGTAATTCAATTACAGCCTGCTCCTCACCGCCGGCTCATAACTTTCGATTACAATCCGGACAGCTGGGGAGCGGCAGCTTCCAGTACAACACTAAAAATAAAAGGTTAATAAGGACCAGCTTCATAGGAGCCTCAATTTATTTACAGCAAATTTCCCCACGAAATTGAAACTCGACCCTGGAACAGCGCGCGGCACAGCCTGTACCGGGAAGGATTACCGCCGCGTCCAGACGCAGGAGAGGGACGCATCGCCCGGTGGCCCCTCCGACCGGCTCGGCCCCGCCGCCTCGCTCGCGCGACCCACATGTTTCCACTAATTGATTTTTACGAGCCCGTCTTTGCCTTCTCCTCGTCTTCACGCGGTTCTTTTCCCTGTGCCCAGAGCGATGGCTGTTACTCTGTGTTGATTTTGATTATTATTTACAGTCATTAAACTTTCGTTTGCCTCCGAATCAATGGCCCCTCAGTCCTCCCCCCACCCCGCCGCCGCCGTCCCCCGTTTATTGTAGGGCTTTGGCAAGGTCTGCGGCCACCCAAGAACCAATATCCCGCCCCTCGGTGGGTCCTGCGAAGGTGCTGCCCAGTAATAGAGTGCCGCACGAAAGAGTGCGGAATTCAATTACAAGTAATTTATTTTTATAGAAACAGTACATCAAGGCCGGAGAGATATTGCCGATCCCGGCCGACAGATGCTGTGAGATGACATAAAAGTTGATGTCCCCTCCAGCCAAAGTTTAATCTTTTCATTAATTTATATGGTGCCGCCTGATTCATCTTCCCGGAGAAGGGTGCCCTGCGCGACGCCCGCCTCCCCCACCGCGTGCGTGGCGCACGCGGCTGGGAAAAGGGTTGGGGGAGCCCTCCCGCCTCGTGGTGCCACCTTTGCAGGAAGCTTCTAGCAACGGATGCCAGCAGGGAAGGCCCTGAGGAGCCCCCGGGGGAGCGTGGCATGGCCTCCGAAGTCGCCCTGGCTGAGGGGCAGCCACCGGATGAAACGAAACACACATCCCCACACCGTAGACACACACTGTCTTCTAAGGGCAGCTTTTGGAAAGCCCGACCCAGAAAGCACATGTGTATGTTCGCTTCATACATAAAACCGGGACCAACTTCTGTGCGAAGCTGTGGACCCCACGACCAATAGGAAACCGGCCGCTCCCAACCCGGCGCGTCCCCGGCTGCCAGCATGAATTCCGTTTATTGAAAACCGGTCCCCAGAGCCTGGGATCCCGACCTGGACCCCTTCTCACCCTCCACGGCCCTCCCATCAGGCTCTGAAAACGACCGAAGGGTGGAAGGCCGGGGTGCCAGGCCCGACCTCCCCGCAGCGGCCCCCACAACCTGCTCTAAGAGGGTCTTTCCTTCCCACCTCCCTCCCCGCCCCCGCCAATCAATAAATTAAGACAGGGAACTGCACGTTGACCGCGACCCAGAAAGGCTCAGGAACGCGCCCCTGCGCGCACGTGCTGCGCACACCCAGGCCGCTGCAGACCCTGGCTCGCCAGATGGGGCATCAGGAATTCATGCGCCCTCGCCTCCCCCACCCCGCCCCAGCCCCTGGTGCCGGGGCTAATCCGGCCCCGCGTGGGCAGCCGCAGAGCTCATTAAGATGCCTGGTATCAGGAAACCTTCCCCCCCCCCCCACAGACACACACACTCCCCACCTCTGCGTTCCCTGGAGGGGAGGGAGGAGGCTGTAGAGGGCAGGGAAGAAGAAGAGGAGGCCCGAAAATGCGGCAATGAGAGGGGAAGAGTGAGCCTCATTCCTGGCAACCTGGAGGCGAAGGACCCGCCCGGCCTCTCCCGGGCCAGCACGCCAGCGCCGGGCGCACCTCGGAGGGGCCGGGTTGCAGCCCGCCCCCAAACTCCCTGCGCCCTGGGAACAGGCGGGCGAGCGGGACCCAGCTGGCGCGCTCCGGGCGCGCCCCAGGCCCCGGCGGCGAGGCCCGGCCCGCGGTCCTACCTGCACGCGCGCCTCCGAGAGCCCCAGGCGCTGGCTGAGCTCCTCGCGCATGAAGGCGTCGGGGTAGTGCGTCTCGTCGAAGAGCCGCTCCAGCTCGTTCAGTTGCTCCAACGTGAAGTTGGTGCGGCTGCGCCTCTGTTTCAGCTTCGTCTGCCCGTCCTCGTCCTCGGACTTGACGTCCTCGCGCTTCTCCTTGCACTCGTAGATACCTGCGGGGCGGCGGGGGCGCAGCGCTGAGTCCCTCTGCGCGGTCCCCCCTCCCGGCCTCGCGCCCCGGAAACGCGGCCCGCGGTGGGCGCTGGGGCACGACCTCGTCAAAACTGAAGCGTGTGCTTGCGGAGGAAGGGGCCTGGGACCCAACGCGCCCTGACGCAAAGTCTCTCTCAAGTCGACAAAACCTACTCCAGGGGACGGCACGCTTTTGGGGGCTCATCACTGCGGCGCAGTGGCGGCGCCGCGGGTCTGGGCCTAACCTCCCAAGAGATCCCTCAGTTTTTCACTTCGTTTGTGCTGACATATTAACGTAGCGGCTCTCGCCCGGGCTCTCTCTACCCCACCCCACCCCTTCCCCTGCCCGTGCTGGGTTCAGGCCACACCGGGGCCCCGGCCCTGGAGAGCCACCCCCAGGAAGCGGCGCCAGCCGCCCCGAGGCGCCCTCCCGACGGTGGAGCTGGGCTCACGGCCCCCACTCAGGTCTCTGCCGCCCCTCGCATCAGGGTGGGGCGGGAGGCCAGGCCCTGGTTTTCCTGCTCTGCTAGGCTCTCTTTCTCTCACCTACTTGCCCGGGTCAGGCACACGCCCCACCGGGGCACCGAGGGGGGCCCTTTCTTCCTTCCAAAAATGAGGAGAGTGTCTGCGTTTGCTGGCGAGGGTGGAGGGCGTCTGAGCATCAGGCAACACAGTCAGCACCGGGGAGAGTCTGTCCCAGAAACCTCAGCTCGGCTCTGGGCGATGCAGCGCCCCACCATGCGGGGGGATTGCACGAGAAAGGCGTCCGTGCCCCCGGGCTGCTGGGACCAGCACCTCCACAGCCTCGCGCCTTCCTTCCCCTTGTCCCCCCACCCGTGATGGGGCAGCTGTAATGAAGGCACACAGCACCGATGTCCCCTCGGCGTTGAGAACAAGAGGCTGACCTCAGGAGCGCGTGTGGAAGGGCCTGGGTCCCACCAACTCTGCCAGGCCCCTTAGTCGCCAACCCAGAAAGTTTCAGGGGGCGAAGCGTCGCGGGGAGAGACGGGCAAGGCGGGCCCTCCGCCCGCCTACCGCCGGGGGTCCAGAGCCGAACACCAGAAGCCCAGCCCTGGGCCTGCCTGAGGCCCGCCCCCCAAGGGTCCCGGCTGCCAGCCCCACCTTGCCTCTGGAACCCCCTTCCCCCGAAAAGGCCTGCCTTCCCAAGAGCACCCTGGTACCTCCCAACAGCGAATCCGCCCCCAGAGGCGCCCGGAGGCTCCCCACTTTACGCCTCCGCTCTCTGACCCTCAGGGACGATCCCGGCTGAGAAGCGGCCCTCAGAGTCCTTCGCAGCCGGCAGCCGGCTCCGCACAGCCCACCGGCCCCTGCTCAGCTCAGCGGGCGCCCTGCTGGCTGCTGCCCGGAGCCCAAGGCCTCTGGGCTCCTCAGGAGCCAGAGGGAGTTCCAGCCCCTGTCAGCCTGGGGCTCCGTGGGGCACAGCAACGCAGGAGCAGAGGGGAAGCTGGGGACCTCTGCCTGGCCTTTCCTGAGCTTCTCTGCCTTAGAAACGCTGCCATATTCTCCTCTGACTTGCAGGAGGCCTCCACGGCCAGCCGCACGTGGCTATCGGCCGCACGGCCCTGGCCGCGCCGGCTTGGCCAGAGGAGGGGGCTCGGCCTCAGGGAGCTGCTCAGGAGCCCCAGCGTGTGGGCCAGCATGTGCTGTCAACCCTCTGAAATAAAATGCAGGCTGAGTTCTGTTCACGGGGCACCCGCGTCTCCCATCACAGCGAACTGTCTTTGTAGGGATTAGGGAGCAGGGCCTGAGGCCAGTCCCCAGCAAGGCCCGCGGCCTGGGCTGCGGCCCAGGGCCTGGTTCAAAGCCTCCGCCAGCTTTTTGCTTCCACAAGTCCAGGGCCTCCTCCGCGGGGGGCTTCGAGGACGCAGCACCGAACTCAGCCAGGGAAGTGCAGGGTCGGGAAGAGCACAGGCCGCCGCGGGCTTGGGAGGGGGAAGGGCGCATCTCTCGGGGAGAGCATGCTGACCTCTCTCCACGCCGCATTGAGCGAAACAGAACCCATGGGTGGCAATGGCAAGCCTGGGCATTCCCTCTCTTTGTGATTAAAAAGAAAGAAAGGAAGAGATATCCATGGCTGCTCCAAACCCGGCTTCCCTACGAAACCCGGCCGGCTCCTCTGCCGCGGAGGGATCGCTGCCAGTTGCCCGGTTCAAGACAGAGGTCCCCCGCTTGGGACCACCCCTGCTTTAGCTCAAAGTCCCTCGTAAGCCTGCCCTTTCCCGGGAGCCAACAACAGCGCGACCCGCGGCGCAGATCTCTGGAACAGCAACCGGCAAGCAGGCCCCAGACGCGCCTGCCCACAGCAGGCCGGCCGCGCAGGGTCAGCCTGCGCCGCGCTGCCGTGCGGGGCGGCCACATCCGGACCCCGGCCACCTGCAGGCGCGGCAGTGGGTTTCGTCGGCAGGCCTGCAGAGCCCTGATCAAGCCTCAGGTTCAAGGGGGAAAGTCTTCCCTAAGCGGGAACTGCGGAGAGGCACGGCGGGCGAAAGGGGGACCGCGCGTTCCATCCCCGACCTCCGGCCCGCGCTTCCTCAACGCGGCCCGCTTCCGGCTCGAGAAGCCGGCAGGCGGCGGGCGCAGGAGGTGTGGGGGCACCTCTGCTGTGTGCGCCTGTGGGTGCCTGTGGGGAAGGCGGGCGGGCGGGCGGGCAGGCGCGCACCCAGCAGCCCTCCAGCCGACCTCGGGGTCCCTCCGATCGACCCCACCCCGGGAACGCTCCCCCTGCGGCGCCCAGTGCCGACGCCCGGCAAAGCGAGTCCACCGGCAGTGCGCGGCCCGGGCCCCGGCCCACGCTGCTTCCCGGCTTGCCTCCTCCCCGCCCTGCCTCTGCGCTTATTTGCCTGTTTCTCTCTTACGAAGAGAAGAGACTGGCCAGGGGCTGCCGGGCCTCTCCGCCTGAGCCGCGGCGGTCCACCTAGAGTTTAGGGTCCAGTGGGGAGCGAGCCGCGGCGCCCCGAGCCCCCGCACGCACGGAGCGAGGGGCCGGCGGGCAGGCGAGGGGGCGAGGGGACCGGTTCCCGGGAGGGGCCCGGAGCCGGCGCCCGGCGAGCTTACCTTCCGAAGCCCTGCTCGTGCCGAACTCTTTCAGTTTGTCCTTGTCGTTGTCCACGTGGTCCTTAAACAAATGCACTGGACAGTGACCGCTGCCCTCCGTAATGTCCTGCAGACTCGATTCCGAGCTCCCCAGCTCCCGGGAGCGCGCCAGTCCGCTCTCCAAAACTTCCCGGTACGTGATCGAATCCTTCTTCCCGCCGCCTCCGCCGCCGCCGCCGCCGCCGCCACCGCCGCCGCCGCCGCCCTCCTTGGTTTTCTGGTCAAAGGATTTGGATACAAAAGCCGTCAGCTCCTCCATGGCTGCCCGAGGCTGCGGGGGTCCGCGGGGCTCGGCGGGGCTGGCTGGGAGCTGGGCTGCGGTCCGCACGCCTCCGCGCGCGGAGAGGTCGGGCTGTGTGAGGGTAGGTCCCTCCTGCCGTTATTTATGCCTTTCAATTTGAGATCTCACTATTTATACGCCGCTACCTCCGCCCAACCCCCCGCGCGCCCTGTCTGCAGCAATTAGGAGTCCCGGCTCGGCGGCGGGCGCACGAGAGACGCTATCTCTCCCCCACCTCCAGTCCGGCAATTGGCTTTCTTTTCATTTCATCACTGTTGGGCGTCGTGCACCTTGGTGAGGAGAGGTAGAGCTCGAATTTTGGAAGGGAGAGGAAGAGCGCGCGCGCGCGGGCGGGCGCAGGCGCCAGAGCCCCAAACAGGTATCCGCATTCCCTCAATGGCTGGCGGAAACGAAACTCGAGGAGGAGTTTAGGGATGGCGAGGAGGTCCTCGCCGCCCGGCCGGCCCCGGCGGGAGCCCAGCCGCGCGCCTACAGTCTATGTGGGCGGCATGGGTCCGCGCGCGGCGGGGCAGCGACCCCGAGGGCTTCCGCGCGGCGGGGACGCGCGATCACATGCACGGATTGCCTCCAAGTTGCAGATGCGGGTGGAATGCGAGCTGGACGCGCCGGCGCGGCCCACGGAGCCACCGGGAGGAGCGATTGCAGGCGCGCCGTGACGGGGGACCAGGCACGGGACCCCAAAAGCGGCACGAAGCGCCCAGGTCTCCCCGAACATGGACGCTGGAGCCTCGTCGGCGGCGGGGAGGCGCGGCGCGCTGACCCCGCGGAGGCCGACGCCGCAGAGACCGGGGACGGGGGCGCTGCCTGGCCACCCCCCGAGAGCGGCGGTGGAGACGCGGAGGTGCCTGCGGGTCGCGGGAAGGACTAATCTGTCAACAGCGACCTTCCGGGCGCGGGTGAGGCTGCTCGGCCGGGCCGCTGCCGCTGTCTTTAGAACTATGCTGTCACCCTGGTGTCTGGCATATTTGTTGGGGGGAAATATATATATATTTGGGGGGGCTATGTCACGATTTTCCTGGCAAGCCCCTCGCCACCCACCCCTCTCCGACCCGCTTGGGAGGACCCGCTGCGCTCAGGGGCGACCCGACCCTCATTGGACCCTCTCGGAAGCCAAGCTCGTCACCTTCTCTGCAAAACTCCATCTGGAAATAAAGTTGACTGTTTCCCCTCTTATTTTTTTTTTTTTCTGTTATATCCTCTCGCCTCTCCCCCCACCGCAGCTCCCACGCTGGAATTGCGACAAGCCTTTGGGGGGCGGGGAGGGTGGTGTCGCGGTTTTTGGAGAGCGGGATTGTGCATTTTCTTCAGTCGAAGCGTGTGTGTCGCCGGAGCCCGGATCGGGCCGCCCTGGGCTGGGCGGTCCCCATCTCCCTGCTCAGAGCCGCCGCCGCCGCCGCCGGAGCCCCACCGCGGCGGCCTTCGGAGGGCAGGGCAGCGGAGGGCTTCTCCGGAATCCGCGGGGCCTGGGGTCGGGTTCACGTGGGGGGATCCCCCAGCGGGGGGAGGGGGCGCCTGCCCGCCAGGCGGGAGAGAGGAGGAGCGGAGCTGCGTGGAAGGAACACGCCAGCGCTCTTGCGTCCTCGCTGCCTCCCTCCTTCCCTCCCTCCCTCCCTTCTCTCCATCCCCTGCCCGCTTCCCTCCTGCCTGCGCATCCCTCTCCCGAGAGCGCGCCCCAGGCGCCCCGTCCGCAGAGTCCGGGGCTGCTCTTCCCCGAGTGCTGTGCGCGGAGGAAACGGAGGGGTTTGGGGGCCGCCGCCTCCCCCGGACTTAAGAGGAGAAAGGCGCCGAAGCCCTGGAAACTTAACAAGCAGGTCTTTGTCACGGCGGCCCCGTAATCAAAGCGGAGGCGCGGGGATATCACACGGAATGACAAATAGCCCGCGATGCATTATTCACGCCTCTGCCGCCGCAGGTCAGCGGGGGAAACGCCTGGGGCGGCGCGAGAGGGGCGCACGGGGCGCGCCGGGGCGCGGCGCTCGGGCTGGGGTCGGGCCGGCCCTTGTTAGCCCTTTCCCTGGCGCAGCCATCCGCCCTGGCCACCGCGCCCCCCCCCGCCCCACGCCCCGAAGTGATGGGCAGAGAGTAAAGAATGGACGGAAGGATAAAGTCTGCAGGGAGGGCGCTGAGGACCAGAGCAACTTTCAGGGGGCCTCCGAGTTGGGGCGACCTTCCTCTCCTCCCCAGCTCCTCAGCCTCCAGCCTCAGGTGCGGGGCCAGACGCCTGGGGAGCTAGCAGCGACCCCCACCTCGCACCCCCCTGCCCAGCCCGTCTCCCAGGCAAAGCTGCAAGGACCCCTCCCTGCTTCCCTGGCGTCCCAGAGCCCAGGCCTGCCGGGCTCAGGCTCCTTCCCTGGGAGGCGACGGCCGAGCACCGCGACCCCGGGCGGGCGCGCCCGAGGCCCCACCCCCACTCGGGGAACGCTGCTCAGACCAGGGCGGGGCCTCCCGGAATGTCCCCGACGGGCACCAGACGGGACCCTGGACATTCACCACCCGTGAGCCCGAGAGGGAACGAAAGCCGCTTCCACCGCAACCCTGGCTCCTGTCGGCAGGGTGGCCGGATGGTTTAGAACTGACCCTCCCGGAAAGAAAGGGTCTCCTCCCACCCCACCCCCCACCAGCATCTTTTCTCAATCTGGAAGGCCCCTCTCTTTCGGAGACTACGGAAGTGAGGTCACCTTGTCCCCAAATCAAGCTTTTTCTGGACAGTGGTCTCCCTCGCGAACTTTTGGGGAGCGCGGGGCACCCTAACCCTCCTCCTCCCTGCGGCCCAGGGCACGCAGGGCTCGGGAGCGGGCTCGGTTTTCGAGACAGACACACAAAACATCAACTATTCCTGTGATTCTTTACATTTTCGCCTCAGCAAGGACTGCTCCCGGAGGCCGCAGGGCAGGGCGGGATGCCCTGAAAGGCTACATTTCGTTACATTTTGGCTGGCGGATGGTGGATGGCAGCCGGGAGGTCCCGGAGGCCCTCCTGGCCCTGGAATCAGGGGTGCTCTCTGCCTTGAGCATCCGCGCCTCTGCTCCCCACCCCCACCCCCAGAGAAGGGGGAGCCCGAACAGAGGACAGGTCTGCATTTGACAGCGTTGTCGGGGACGGTGAGGAGGGGTGTCCGGAGGGAATGTGGGTGCGTCAACTTCCCCAGCCCATCCCGGAAGGAGAGACGGGTTTCAGGAAAGTTTGTGGAGAGAAATGACAGCGTGCCTGCGTCCCCAAAACAGCTGCAGCGAAAAGAAAGACGTCGTGGGTGGGAGGGGGGAAGAGCGCAACACAGAGGGTCTGGTTTGGGGAGGAAAAAGGACATTTCTGCCCCATGTGGATTCCACCCAGTGCCCAGCACACGCCCTGGAGCTGCCGCTCGTCCTGGGTCCAGACCTGGGTGTTGCTACGGCCCCCTCTTCACAGGCCCAGCCGTCCAGCAAGGCCGGCGAGTCCAGGAGGCCTGACCGCACAGACTGAGCAGCCGGGCATTGATGTTCCAACAGGGAAGACACGCGGGGGCAAGACACAATAAAAAGAAGTAAAAAATACCAAGACATCTTGTCCTGGGACAGACGAAGACTCCTGGGCTTCAGGGGGAGGCTGTAGGGTCTTTTTAAAACACACGTGCGCTCCTGGAGAGTGGGGGGTGCCATGTGCCTGAGCCAGGCCCCCCGAGTCTGCACAGCCCTGGCCAGAGCGCCCCCACCCCCCGCTTGGGGAGCACAGAGCAACCCCACTGAGGAGAGCGGTGCAGGAGCCCGCCCGTGGGGGCGCACCCTGCAAGCCGGAGTGTCCTGCCCCCTCCCCGCACCAGAACGGGGGTCCCCCACCACACCCTGTCCTGGCTCAGGTTCCCTTTTCTTGAGTTCTGTGCACCTTCACTCGGGCCGGCTGCATCCAAGCTAGGGCTGCAGCACCCTGTCCACCCCAAGTTTACCCCCGAGAGCCCTTCCGGCCTGGCCAGGGCAGGCTCCCTGAAGACCCAGGAAGCAGGGGTGCGCAGGTCCAGAGCCGGAAGCGGCGAGAGCCGGCCTGGGCAGCCGCACCCTGCTGGCCGCGTGGCCAGGGGGTCTCTCTCCCGCTCTGTTCGCGCCCTCTGGGGGACAGAAACGGGCCGGAGGGTCGCGTCCCTTGTGAGTCCACCCGGGACGTCCACCTGCAAGTCCCGTGGGCTGAACCAGGGTGTCCAGGGGCTCCAGGCCTGTCCACAGTCCCCAGGACGCCCCGCACAGTGGCGGCAGGCACAGCCGGCCCTAGGCAACGAGGCTCCACGTCCCAGTGGGGGGGGGGGGGCCTCCAGGCAGGAGACAGAGCCCCGGGGCAGCAGGACCTCGCGCTCCCGCGCCTTTTCCCACTTTATAACAGAATCTGACTTTGTGTACCTGAATTAGGCACATGTTATAAACAAGCTATTCCTAATCTCTCCCTCTCTCTCTCTCTCTCTCTCTCTCTCTCTCTCTCATTTCCAATGCCCAGGGAGAGAAGGCAATGAATATTCAAAGAGTTAATATTTGGTTTATTGAATTCCTAAAAGGCATGGCTGGGGTTTTTTTTTACTTTCAACCCCGGGAAAACAAAGCTGCCCTTGCCCTGTGCGGCTCTACCTCCCAGCGGACTGCACGCCCTGGGCTCCCAAATGCACGACTGATTCGGCGCCTCGGCCGGGGGGTCCCCGGCCCGGTCCCTGTCCCTGCGACCGTCCACAGAGACCCCGCCCCCAACCCACGGCATCCCCGGCTGTGCAGACACAGAGGACGGAAATTTCCCAGCCTGCCCCTGCCCGCGGCCGGCTCCCTCGGCTTGTAATTCCAGAGACCCCTGGTATTCATAAAAAGAGAGGGGGGTGTTAATGGTTTTCGCTGACTAGGGAGCCTTTTGAACGGACAGCCGTCCGGCCCTCCCCGCCCATCAAATATTTATCAGTATCGATCAGCAGGTCCGCGCTTGACAGACGTCTGAACACATTTCACCCACGGGCTCCCTTTCTGCCCTCGCCCTTGGAAACTTGGAAACCTGCCGGTGTCGTCTGTCCTGGGCTGTGGATGGATTTACCCAAAACACTCGGGCCTCCAATCGGAGGCCGATGCGCGCTGTT